TAATATATTATATATATAATATATATATATATATATATATATATATATATATATACCAATGCATATGCAAAAATATAAGAATATTTTATAAAAAGTAGTAACAAAATTCTTTTTTTTCTGTTACAATTGTATTATAACATTAATATCTTTTAACCAAGTTAAGACAAAATGAAATTAATTTTATATATTATATTATTGTTCCTAATAAATATATTAAATGAAGACATTGATTAGTATTCAACGATAAAATTGATCACTTAATTGATCACATCTTAATTTGCATTTCATTATTAACTTTAAATCTATTTAAGTTTTTAAAGCTTTTTTTTAAAAACATATTATAGCTAAGAATGATCAATTTATTAAATTAATTTAATAATAAATTCTATTTAATCATAATCAGTAACATAAGAAAATCAATGAAATAACATACATAAGAAATAATATAAAAAATTAATAAAATACCTAAAATGATATATGTTTTGATCATGGATCATTTGTAATTCTAACATATATTATATTATAACATGCTAATCTAATATATAAGCAAATAATTAAAAAGTTTTTCAATGAAAGAATTTTTTTTTGAAAGATTAAAATGAAAAATGAAAAAATAAATGGAGTTTTATCATTATAAATTAATAATTAAGTTTGTTGCATGAATTCGCAATGCTACAGATGAGAATGTTTTATGTACTCACATGTTACATAATTTTTTATTATTCATTTAATATGAATAAACGTCTTATAATTATTTACAAAATTCAATAATATTATGTGATTATTAATTATTTATAAAAATTTTGTTAGTGCAAAACATTATCTTAATCAATTATTATTTTTATACTATTAAACTTTATACTAAATAAAAATTTTAAACTTTGTTTTTTCAATTTTATGAATTTTTACAGTTGTTTTGATCGATTAAAATTCTTATTGGGAATTTCAGATCGAAATCTGACTTAAAGCTATCGTCTAGTACAAGCAAAAAACGGGACATAGTTACATCGTTTTTCAGCCCAAAACGGCCAACGACCAGAAAAGTCGAGCGTACTATCAGATACGAGACGAAATTACAGGAGCGACACAAGTAAGTTTTAAATTAATTGAGTTCTCGATCTTTGAATTGCCATATTATGTATCTCGCATAACGATATATTTTAAACCATGTGACACATTTGTTAGTATATGTAGCAAACTCCTTTCTTTTAGAAAAGAAGAAAAAAGCAAAACTTTTAGAAAAAAAATGATATTATTTTGCTAATAGATTTATCTTTGTATGTCTCTTATTTCAATGATTTTTCAATATCATAAGATTTAGATATATTCATCTAAATATATATATACACAACATATGTACATCATATCAAATATCATATTTGATGAACATCTCTTTATAAATATGTAATATATATATATAAAAAGAAAAAATAAGAAAATCGAATTTACAATTTTCTAATAAAAAATTGAGAATTCTATATTCTTTTGTCATTTATTAAATTATTGTTAATGCTTTTATATAATGAATTTTTTTTATAAAAATTTATAGTAAAGTAATCAAATGTAAAAATCATATATTGCGTTTTCTAAAAGTATTTAGTTTGCATGAATTAGAAATGTAAATATCTAAGATTATATATTTTCTCCTATTATTAGAATATATTGATTGATTGTTGCATGCAGTAGCTGTAGCAATTAAAGAAACGAATTTTAAAAAAATTTTTTTTGTACCGATTATAGTTTACTTCCCTTTCCCTGACTGAAGTCGCCATCTCCGCTAGAATAACCAAAAGTATTCTTTAAAAATCATTTCGTATAACCTCGAAAAAATATAAAAAAATAACGAAATTGAATATCCAATTATTAAAAAAAAATAACTTCTTATTATACTAATTATACTAATGCTTTCATTAAACAACTTCAAATCGATGATCTGTTCAAATGAAATGCTCAATTGATAACAACTGTTATAATAATGATATCATTTTCTTATGAGTCTTCTATTGGCTATTTATAATTAATTAATCAATATTATTTATATTCTTTATAATTAAATCTTCTTATAGTACCATATGATAACATTTTTTCTTATCAAATTAATATATATTATATGTTTTTTTCTTCTAACATTTCCCATTGAATCATAATGTTTCATATGTAACGAGTCCATTCTAATTCATTAACTGATCCAATCCAATTTCAAGTGACCATAAATCAAGCTCCCATTACATCAAGTTATTTATTTTTCCTGTAATTTCTGAAGAATCTATATCTATTTATTAGAAAATACAAGTTTGTGAATAACATATCATGGAAAATATTAGAGTCAATTAACGATAATATTTGCTTCTTGTCGTTGTTTAATTAATATAATGTTAGAAAGAAAAATATAGGAAAATGGAGTCTACTTAACAAATCAACGATTATGACAATAAGAGTACTGGTACTGGATATTAACATTGTACGACCTAGATACCCAATAAATCAAAAGTCAGTGACTCGTTTCAATCCGATGCTTTGTATTTATGGCGATCCATCGTAGAATGGTGTTCAGCCAAGTGAATACGTTAACGATGGATTTAAATCATAATATAATCTATAAAGAATAGATTCATACACATATAAAAATTATATTTACTATGTTTAATATCTGAAAAAAATTGAAGAATTCTTATATTTTTACAAAATCTTCAAAGTGAATTTTTATTATTACAAATTAAATTTTATTACTAATATTTTAAAATATTCTTTTTTTTATTTGATATAACTAGAAGATAAGATTTCTTTTTTATACATTTAACAAAATATTTATAACAAATATTTCTAAAAGACAAATAAATTATAGATGGAATCACTAGATTCTACAATATAGTTGCTCAACAAGATACTTTAAAGGTCTTTGTATAAAGATAAAGTCAATTGGGAGAAAACGAGCAACGGAATGACGTCAATGTAAGTTAATCAAAGAATTAGAGAAATTAACTAAGCATCTTTATTTATTCTCAGTAATCGTTTATTACTTCTAAAAAAAGAATTTCGAATTTGAATTAAATGAAAAACAAAACAGATTTCAGTTTTATAATCAATGTTTATTCAATATTTGCATTGCAACTATTATTGTTTAATTTGGATATAAATGTTTATATCAATCGTATCTTAGTCACAAAAATAACAAAAATATATATAATATATTTTTTTTCCGTCATTTATTTTGAGAGTTGATCATCATTATTTTTCTATTTCAATTCATTGTAATCTTTATTTTTTCTTATTTTTTGCCAAGAAAAAGAGAATTATCGCGAAAATTCGCTCTCAAATCGCTATCATCATCAATTCAGACATTTTTGTATAATTCCATTACAATGTGAACATATCTCTTACACCTGGCAATAATAATATCTTTCTTTGGTCTCCTTGATGTGCAGATAAGGCCATAACATCAAGCGTATTCCTTTGGACGTGACAATTTGCAATCAAAATTTATATATATGTTGGTTGGATTGGTCAGGGTGATTCAGGGAAAGCATACTGCATCAACCTTGATCTCGTTTATCATGCAACCTGCTGGCTTATGTTTCGCTCTATTTTAATATGTTGATTCAAAAAGTAACTGGTATAAATTTTTTTTCTTAAATTAGAGTAAAAAAATTCAATTAGAAAATTAATTATACAAAATTAATTATACGAAATTAATTATTAATAGAGATAGAGAATTGAAAAATTCAAGAATTTAAGAATTGAAATAACAAATGTTTAATCAATCTTCTGAGCATTGAGTCTGAAGGAACGCACTGACGTAAAATGTTGCATAGAAACATTGTATAGAATACTAATCGAGGAATGAATAATGCGTGATCCGTTTAAGCATCAACAAGTCAACGTGTCTACATCGTGGCAGACATTATTCCATTAATATTACTAAGATGTCCATTTTTGTACGCTTAATCAATATTAATCTTCTCTAAAAGTAATTATACGTTGTTCTAAACATATTGTTGTAAGTGTGTCCACGCGCGCTTGTGTGTGTATTAAATATATATTAAACCGATCGATTACTGAGATATTTATTAGTAAAATACTCAGAGTTTTTTTTTCATTTTTAATTTTATAAAGAAATTTTCATTAAAGACAATAAATAATTTCATTAAAGACATAAGACATAATTATAATTAAATATTAAATATATATTATAATAAATTTATAAAATAGCGTTAAAATATATTGATTAGATAAAACATAAATTATAAGTTAAGTTTCTTTCTTTAAAAAAAAAAAAAAGAGTTTAATTAATTCTTATTGAATTTTTCAAAATTTTTTATAAATGCAGAAGGAAAAAAGCGAATCGAATTATTCATTTTTGAAACTTTTGAAATATATAATAAATGTTATATTATTAATATATATTAACAAATTATGTTAAATCAATCTTGACTTTTTTTTCTTTTTGATTAATGTTAATGAACATCAGCCAAATACTTTCCAAATATTATAATAATCACATAGATTTATATATTTATATAACATAATTATTTAGATATTTGTTTTTTCAAATCGTTTTCGATAGCCTCGATGCTTCACTTATATATGCAAAGATATTTTCAACGAGAACATGTTTCCGCTAACTAAATTTAATAGAAATATGCGAATATCGGTTTCGTGATGGAACATATGTACGCATTGCAAAAATGTAGCATACATAAGTCTATAATGGGCATACTTCACAAATGCGTTTATGACACGTTCAACGTGTGCATTTTGTACACATTATTTACCTTGCCATGAAATCGACTCCGATCAGATTACAATCACTAGAGTCAAGTCATTGGTTTGATAGTGCCATGGAAATAAATTGATTTAGCTTTTTGCGTTCTGAATAATCATTTTATTTTATTAATTTTAGATAATATCTAAAATTAAAGGAAACAAAATTTAATTTCGAGAATATATTTTTTTTATATTGAATATATTTAAATATATATATAAATAATTTATAATTCGTATTTCTATTTTTTTAATATTGACTTTTAAACATTCATATTAATTAAAAAATTTCAAATTATTTGAAATATTTTTTAAAAAATTACATTTTAAAAATTATATTTTAATTTTAATCTAAGATTAAGAATTGAATTTAATTTTTAGTTTATCCAAATTTACTATATTAATTTACCTCAATCTATAATATGTAGTAATTAATTTTTAAAACGATAGGCAATATTATATTATATAGTAATCGATTTTGCATTAAGAAGCAGATTTTGTATCATGAATTTAACTCGTATATTAATTCTAAAGAAGTTTAGACCACCGGGTACATACCATATGTCGACCGTATGAGAAAACTGGTTGATGGTGAGACGACGTCTGCAGATTCCGTGGCCTCTTTAAGCAGTTTCTACCTCTTCTTCCTCGCCCCTCTGTACTCGCCTATCTTTGACGGTATATATAGTATATATGTAAGTAAACATACTTACATACTTATTCGTTCCCAAAGAATTGACGCGGACTGTCTTAAATCCTATCAATTATTTCTGTTTCTTCATTTTTCGGGATTGTAGATCTTTATTGAAAAAATCTAATAAGAAACTAAATAATTCCTAATCCTATTTTTGAGCTGGTTAATTAAATATGATTTTTTCTAGAAAATATGTAAATTTGTACTATTATATATGACTATATAAATTTTTTAATTTTTTAAAAAATTATCGTACATTACTATTTGATATATTTTTTTAAATAACTTACTATATAAGTTAAAAATTAAATTAAATTTTTCTTTCTTCTTACAAGAAATTTAAATTTTGCGTAATTAAAATTTCACTTGCTTATATTCTTGTTGCATCGATATTTTGTATACTTTATTTATAAAATAAATATCATGTTCCTTCTCTGATAAACTGATTAAGATTCATAGATAAAAATAAGATTTTATTTATTTGGTTTTTGATTTTTTCTTGTATAGAAAAATATTTTATATCTATATGAACAGTGGATCTCAAAAAGAGTAGCATTATTATTATTATATCATAATTTTCTGTGTATTTAATATCTAAACTGAGATTTTCAAGTCCTTTGTTCGGCAAAATGGTTGAAACCTGTAATGGGACAAATCATTGTGGTGAGAATATAAGTCGAGTCAATCGAATCGTCAACAGAAGAATTGTCGGGAAAGTCTAACCATTGAAAAAGTGGGAGAAATTAATAGTGGTGATGGCACTTAGAAATGGAAGTGGGAGAAATACGGGTGTTCTATTGTATTGTATTGTTTTGGTAAAGTTCCTATCTTACTCTGACAATGTAAATAGGACACCCGTTATTTCTCCCACCTTCATTTCTAAGTACCACTACCACTACCACTTTCTCCCACTCTTCCAATAATCAGACTTTTCCCGGCAAGCTTGGTCGTCGATTCGTCGAATCTCGTATTCAGTGTTTGATGTACAGTGGGTGGGAGTGTATCGTTTTTCTTTATTTTTTGAAAAAAAATTATTATTAAAGAAAAGTGTTATTTACATTTTGTTCAAATTCTGAATTTAGAAATTAATGATTAATCTTTGGAAGGCTCAATTATCGATGATTAGAGTTTTATCAATGTGACCACTGATGAGTTTGAATAATAATACAACGCTTTACTTCATCAAGAATTCATTTGGAAAGAGTCAATCTTATAAATTCCATGATCAAGGATGCAAATATATTTCTCGCATAAACATCGAGAGAAAACACACTCGCGCCACAGAATTCAGCCGGTTGATGCAACAAGTGGTCGTCATCGGAGGTTGTAATCTAAGTGAACCTATACGTATTTTGTTGGAATTCGTATACATTCATGAACAAGGATCTCTAAAAGTAGTTCGAGGTTGAATAATTCTGTACAAATCTTCAAATTTCTCTTTGAGCTTGTGTCACACGCTGCAGGAAACCGATTATTTTTCGTCGTGTAACCTTAACTTCAGATGACATGATCGAGAAAATCCGTTCGAGAAAGAAGAAGTTGAAAATTTTTATTGAAATATTTTAATTAAACTTGAAATGTTCTACCTAGTGAAAGTAACACATACGTACAGTGTGTTCTCTTTACAAGAAATTTTTTATGCTTTCTTTATAAAAAAACTATAATTATAATTAAATTATAATTTTTTAAAATTCTTATTCATAGTGTAGTGTATAAATATCTATATCTATAGTATCCTATAAAAAGTGGAAAATTATATGAATGAAATTTAATGCTGTGTTTGTTAAAAGCAATGATTATAGAAAAACTAGATTGTGTTTATATATTTGTCGATAACGAAGTTTGACTTTGTGAAAGGGGAATAGTTTTAAAAATGAAATTTTTATTGATTAAGATTTTGTTGAAATTATATATGAAGTACATATGAAATGGAACACAGTGAAGATTTTCGTTCAGTTTTATGAAACTAAATAATTTTACCCAGTGAATTTATGCAATATAACTTATTTATAAATTAAATAATTTCAAACTATATTGTCGATTGGAAAAATGAAACGATAAATCTTCGCGTTTTCGGGAATAATGATTTTTCAATTTCAATTGAATGCCCAGTGAAGTGTGAAGAGCGACCATGATGAAGTTCAGATCGCTGTTTCGCAGAGGCCAACAACAACCGCCGACGCAGTCGCAACAGCAGCAACAGCAACAGCAACAGATTTCGCTGCGTCAGGCGCCAAGCGCCTCCTCACTCGAGGCGAAGAACGAGAATTCATCAGCAGACAATTGGGACTCCCTCGGTAAAGAAGGAGCTAAAGGAAACGCTAAGAGTAGTTATAATCCTAAGGGACCCAACAAAGGGTCCAGGATGCAGGATCTTGAACGGGAGATTGAAGTGTTACGCAAGGAACAAATCCGACTCGAATCAAGTTTACGGGAAGCGTCTTGCGATGCTCAAAATCTTCTTGAACTTCGTGCCGAGCTTGCCTCTCTCAAGGTAATGTTTCAATATTATGTTTCAATGCCTATAAAAAATTTTAAGTCTATTTTTTTTAAATAATTTATGTAAATATTTTTAATTAATTTTAAATTAATCTTATTATATTATAACTATTTTCATAAAAGATATTCAATATATAATATTTATATTTAATATATAAAACATTTATATATTATATAATATAATATATATGTTATTTCCATTAAGTAATTTTAAAAATAGTGATAATTTCAGATTTTAAAATATATTTATAATTTGAAAAAATTTTAATAAGAATTTTAATAAGATCAAATAAAATTAAATCAAAAAAAGATATGTATATATTGTGCTCATTACTATTTACATCATTTGTTTTCAATTCGATCTTTTTTGCTCTCTTTATTTTCAATTTTTTTTTATGTATAAAATTATTTAATATAGTTATAAATTTACTTCTCTCATTTTATTATTCATGTTAAATTATTATATAAAGAAATAAATTTCAAAGACATTTTTTATACGATAAAGGAGATTGATTTTATTTATCGATATTAGCAATAATTAAAAATAGATAATTTTTTTCTCTCTGATTAAATTTTTTGATATTAAAAAACAGATATTATGCAATCAATAAAGTTAATCTTATAATTTAATTTAACAAATGATGGTAACCAAAACGCATTTAAATATACTTGTATGTTTATTAAATTCATTGAATTACAAATAATCTATAAAAAAAATGAAAATTAATTTTTTATGAATTACATTGTCATTTTATAAATAATTTTATAAAATATCCCGCCTATTTAAAAATAACCAGAGGGCGTAAAATATGAGGATGTTTACAAAGGAAGAAAACTTGTGAAGTGAATCGACCGCGAACGCTATGAAAAAACGTTGTTTCTCTTCATCTATGGTAAAAGACAAGAGACACTTCGTTTTATAAATTGTTTATACAACGAATCATAAATAATTAACAATCATTTAAAAAATTGTGAGATGTTTGATCGAACGTTCGTGAACTTAACCTAAAATAAAGATTTATTCGTATAATCAGGGATCATAAGAAAAAATCGTTCACCTTGAATTAAAAATTTATAGTATTCTCAATATCATCACAATATATTATACTACTAGACATATTGTATTTCTTCGTGCTACTCGGTTCGAGTAATTAGAATACAATTGATCACCATATTCTGATTTATGTAAGCGTCTGACATCATGTTTTTAATGTAAATAAAACAGCAAAGAAATCGAGAGAAAAAATATAAACATTTTTATTAGTTTTAATAATAGAAAATGGCAATAGAAAATGTTATAAAAATAGTACACTTTACAATGATTTTATTTCTATTTTTAATACATACTCTTAAAATTTTTTAATTAATAAAAGATTTCATTTATTTTATTTTTATTAATTATAGGAACAGCATAGTTTGGAGTTAGAACGTCTTACTGAAGAAAATGAAACTCTTCGAGCAAGACTTAGAGATGTAGCTCATTCTCCTTTATCAGATTCAGAGAAACAACAATTACTTTTGGATGCCTCAAGATTACACAATTCTGCACCAGCATCAATAGCGATTCCTCAAGATGAAGGATCCATATCGGTTACAACTATATCCCAAGATAATGCTCAATGTACTACCCCAGATTGGGATAAACATTCTTCTAGTTCTGTATCAGAAGTTTCTGTTGCATGTCTACAAGATAGAATTTTGCAAATGGAAGAAACTCATTATTCAACAAATGAGGAGTTACAAGCAACAATTCAAGAATTAAGTGATTTACAAGTATGTAATTATAAAGTTATAAATTTAAACAATAGTATATAATTGTTACCCAATAAAATTCTCTTAATTTGTAGGCTCAGCTTACAGAACTACAAGCTGACAATGAAAGATTAACAGAGGAAAAAGATGTGTTGTTAGAATCATTATGTAGACAAACAGAAAAACTTGAAGACTCTCGTTCCAAGGTTGATACATTGCAAGGTCTATTATTAAGAGAAGAGCAACCTCAGGAATCTTCCAAAGGATATAATACAGAACGAGAACAGAAATTAGTAGATCTTCTAAAAGTAAACACTCTCTTAATTTTAAAGCATTAAATTATGACATCCAATCATTTTTTAAATTAATTAATTGCAGAGTGCACAAGAAGAACGAGAATCCTTGCTACAAAAACAAGAAGAATTAATATCCGAATTAAAAAGTCTTCGAGCTGCTGCAGAAATTAATGCCACAGAAACAGAACGATTAACAAAATGTGTCCATCTGTTAGAATCCTCAGTGGAAACAGCAAATATTGAAAGAAAGCAACTAGATATGGAATTAACAGAAGCTAGACAAGAAGGAGCAAATCGGAATATAGAAATCAGCAGGTTAACTACACTATTAGAAAATGCCCGAGCGAAGATTGAAGAATTAGAACAATCGAGACAAGTGGAGAATAAAAGTGAAGCAGATGAACTTTTAGATGCTGCTAGAAGAGAAAAAGATACCTTAGAAACGCAAGCGGCAGCCTTGCAAGAGCAATTAGCGCGTTCGCATTGCGATCATGATCGTCTTAGAGATCAATATTCACAACTTCAAGAAGAATACAAAGTATGTTCAATAAAAGAAATACATATATAATCATAAAAATAAATTTAATATATTTTAGGTAGCGCGTAATAATGCTAAATCAGCCATTGATGATCTGGAATATAGATTG